ACACACAGTGACACACACACAGTGTACATACACAGTGACACACACAGTGACACACACACACACAGTGATATACACACACATAGTGCACACACACACATAGTGCACACACACACAGTGTACATACACAGTGATACACACACACAGTGTACATACACACAGTGACACACACACACAGTGTACATACACACAGTGACACACACACACAGTGTACATACACAGTGACACACACACAGTGACACACACACACACAGTGTACATACACAGTGACACACACACACAGTGACACACACACACAGTGATATACACACACATAGTGATACACACACACAGTGTACATACACACAGTGACACACACACACAGTGTACATACACAGTGACACACACACACACAGTGTACATACACACAGTGACACACACACACACAGTGACACACACACAGTGTACACACACACAGTGTACACACACTCACACAGTGACACACACACAGTGTACACACACTCACACAGTGACACACACAGTGACACACACACAGTGACACACACACAGTGACACACAGTGTACACACACACACAGTGACAAAAAAACAAAGATCCCCCATATAGCCTTAACAGACTGTAGGGGCAAGTGCTGTTAGCGAGCACCTATGAAGGCCGGAACGGTACACGAGGGGGTGGGTGGCCAGCACCACGCCCGACCGCCTTTGTCTCCCCAGTGGCAATGTTTTTATCCACCGCACCAGGTACTCATTTGAGGCCGTGAGCGGGAATCGAACCTGGGTCGCCAGGTTCATAGCGCAGCGCGCTAACCGCTACACTATCGCTCCCCACAGTGACACACACACAGTGACACACACACAGTGTACATACACACAGTGACACACACAGTGACACACACACACAGTGACACACACAGTGACACACACACACAGTGTACATACACACAGTGATACACACACAGTGTACATACACACAGTGACACACAGTGTACATACACAGTGTGTAATACACACACAGTGTACATACACACATACAGTGACACACACACAGTGACACACATAGTGACACACACACACAGTGACACACACACAGTGTACACACACAGTGACACACACAGTGTACACACACAGTGTACATACACACACAGTGACACACACAGTGACACACACACAGTGACACACACACAGTGACACACACACACAGTGTACACACACACAGTGACACACACAGTGACACACACACACAGTGACACACACACACAGTGTACACACACAGTGACACGCACACACACACAGTGACACGCACAGTGACACACACACAGTGACACACACACAGTGACACACACACACAGTGTACACACACAGTGACACACAGTGACACACACACACACAGTGACACACACAGTGACACACACACACAGTGACACACACACACACACAGTGACACACACACAGTCACACACACACAGTGACACACACACAGTGACATACACACACAGTGACACACACACACAGTGACACACACACACACAGTGACACACACACACAGTGACACACACAGTGAGACACACACACACAGTGTACACACACAGTGACACACACAGTGACACACACACAGTGTACACACACAGTGACACACACACAGTGTACACACACACAGTGACACACAGGTACACACACAGTGACACACACACAGTGTACATACACAGTGACACACACACACATACACAGTGACACACACAGTGTACACACACACACAGTGACACACACACAGTGACACACACACACAGTGACACACACACACAGTGACACACACAGTGACACACACACAGTCACACACACACACAGTGACACACACAGTGACACACACACAGTCACACACACACACAGTGACACACACACACAGTGACACACACACACAGTGACACACACACAGTCACACACACACAGTGACACACACACACACACAGTCACACACACACACACAGTGACACACACACACACAGTGACACACACACACAGTGACACACACACACAGTGACACACACACAGTGACACACACAGTGTACACACACACACAGTGACACACAGGTACACACACAGTGACACACACACACAGTGTACATACACAGTGACACACACACACATACACAGTGACACACACAGTGTACACACACACAGTGACACACACACAGTGTACACACACACACACAGTGACACACACACACACAGTGACACACACACACAGTGACACACACAGTGACACACACACAGTCACACACATACACAGTGACACACACACACAGTGACACACACACACAGTGACACACACACACAGTGACACACACACAGTCACACACACACAGTGACACACACACACACACACAGTCACACACACACAGTGTACACACACACACACAGTGACACACACACACACACAGTGACACAAACACACAGTCACACACACACAGTGTACACACACACACACACACAGTGTACACACACACAGTGACACACACACAGTGTACACACACACACACACAGTGACACACACACACACAGTGACACACACACAGTGACACACACACACAGGTAGTGATGATGGTGAAAGATATTGATGGTGATGTTAGTGATGTTGATGACGATGTTGATGATGACGACGTTGTTGATGACGTTGACGATGACGACGACGATGACAACGATGTTGACGACGTTGTTGATGACGATGTTGATGACGATGTTGACGTTGACGATGACGACGTTGACGACGATGTTGACGATGACGACGTTGACGACGTTGATGACGACGTTGTTGACGATGACGACGTTGATGACGATGTTGACGTTGACGATGTTGACGATGACGACGTTGATGACGATGATGACGATGACGATGTTGATGACAACGTTGACGACGATGCTGACGACGATGTTGACGACGACGATGACGTCATTGACGATGACGATGTTGATGATGATGACGTTGACGACGTTGATGATGACGACGATGCTGACGACGACCTCGTCACCTGGAGCGGGCGATGGCGTGCCCACATATCCGTAGCCGTTCACCTGCGGTGACTCCTGGGTGATCTCGCGGCCGTCCACCCCGATCTTGCCCAGGCGGAACTACGCAGACAAAGGGGCCCGGGTAGCCTCTAGGCACCATCGCCAGGGGCAAGGGCTGTTGGCGGTGTAGCTACGGATGTTGCTCGGGGCAAGTGCTGTTGGCGGTGTAGCTAGGAATGTTGCTCGGGGCAAGTGCTGTTGGCGGAGTAGCTAGGAATGTTGGTCAGGGCAAGTGCAGTTGGCGGTGCAGCTAGGAATGTTGCTCGGGGCAAGTGCTGTTGGCGGTGTAGCTAGGAATGTTGCTCGGGGCAAGTGCTGTTGCCGGTGTAGCTACGGATGTTGCTCGGGGCAAGTGCTGTTGGCGGAGTAGCTAGGAATGTTGCTCGGGGCAAGTGCTGTTGGCGGTGTAGCTACGGAATGTTGCTCGGGGCAAGTGCTGTTGGTGGTGTAGCTAGGAATGTTGTTCGGGGCAAGTGCTGTTGGCGGAGTAGCTAGGAATGTGGCTCGGGGCAAGTGCTGTTGGCGGAGTAGCTAGGAATGTTGCCCGGGGCAAGTGCTGTTGGCGGAGTAGCTAGGAATGTTGCTCGGGGCAAGTGCTGTTGGCGGTGTAGCTAGGAATGTTGCTCGGGGCAAGTGCTGTTGGCGGAGTAGCTACGGATGTTGCTCGGGGCAAGTGCTATTGGCGGTGTAGCTATGAATGTTGCCTGCAACTCTGGCTACACAGACGAACACGGCCATCTAGGCACGACCGCCAGGGGCAAGTGCTGTTGGCGGATTAGCTACGGATGTTGCTCGGGGCAAGTGCTGTTGGCGGAGTAGCTAGGAATGTTGCTCGGGGCAAGTGCTGTTGGCGGTGTAGCTAGGAATGTTGCTCGGGGCAAGTGCTGTTGGCGGTGTAGCTAGGAATGTTGCTCGGGGCAAGTGCTGTTGGCGGTGTAGCTACGAATGTTGCTCGGGGCAAGTGCTGTTGGCGGTGTAGCTAGGAATGTTGCTCGGGGCAAGTGCTGTTGGCGGTGTAGCTACGGATGTTGCCTGCAACTCTGGCTACACAGACGAACACGGCCTCTAGCAGGACCGCCAGGGGCAAGTGCTGTTGGCGGTGTAGCTAGGAATGTTGCTCGGGGCAAGTGCTGTTGGCGGTGTAGCTACGGATGTTGCTCGGGGCAAGTGCTGTTGGCGGTGTAGCTAGGAATGTTGCCAGGGGCAAGTGATGTTGGCGGTGTAGCTAGGAATGTGGCTCGGGGCAAGTGCTGTTGGCGGTGTAGCTAGGAATGTGGCTCGGGGCAAGTGCTGTTGGCGGTGTAGCTAGGAATGTTGCTCGGGGCAAGTGCTGTTGGCGGTGTAGCTACGAATGTTGCTCGGGGCAAGTGCTGTTGGCGGTGTAGCTAGGAATGTTGCTTGGGGCAAGTGCTGTTGGCGGTGTAGCTAGGAATGTTGCTCGGGGCAAGTGCTGTTGCCGGTGTAGCTACGGATGTTGCTTGGGGCAAGTGCTGTTGGCGGTGTAGCTAGGAATGTTGCTCGGGGCAAGTGCTGTTGGCGGAGTAGCTAGGAATGTTGCTCGGGGCAAGTGCTGTTGGCGGTGTAGCTAGGAATGTTGCTCGGGGCAAGTGCTGTTGGCGGAGTAGCTAGGAATGTTGCTCGGGGCAAGTGCTGTTGGCGGTGTAGCTAGGAATGTTGCTCGGGGCAAGTGCTGTTGGCGGTGTAGCTACGGATGTTGCTCGGGGCAAGTGCTGTTGGCGGTGTAGCTACGGATGTTGCTCGGGGCAAGTGCTGTTGGCGGAGTAGCTAGGAATGTTGCTCGGGGCAAGTGCTGTTGGCGGTGTAGCTAGGAATGTTGCCTGCAACTCTGGCTACACACAGAGGGGGTGGGTGGCTAGCAGCACCGCGCCCGGCCGCCTTTGTCTCCCCAGCGGCGATGTTTACTACACACACCAGGCCGGTTCAGATCATCGTCACTGGCGCTGTCGGCCGTGAGCGGGGATCGAACTCGGGTGGCTGGGGTTCGTAGCGCAGCGTAGCGCTAACCACTACACCCACCGCTCCACAATACACACACACGTACACGTACACACACGTACACACACGTGTACACACGTACACACACACAGTCTCACACACACACGTGCACACACAGACACACACACGCGCACTCGCACGTACACACACACGTACACACACGCACGCACACACGTACACACACACACGTACACACACGCACACGTACACACAGACACACACGTACACACACACGTACACACGTACACACACACACGTACACACGTACACACACGTACACACGTACACGCACACACGTACACACGTACACGCACACACGTACACACACACACGTACACACACACGCACACACACACACACGCACACACACACACGTACACACACACGTACACACACACGCGCACTCAAACACACGTACACACACATGTGCAGACACACACACGCACACTCACACACGTACACACACACATACGCACACACACACGTACACACACGCACACACACACTCACGTACACACACACATACGCACACACACGTACACACACGCACACACACACTCACGTACACACACACATGTACACACACGTACACACACGTACACACACACACACGTATACACACACACGTACACACACACACACATGTACACACACACACACACGTACACACACACACGTACACACACACACACGTACACACACACACGTACACACACACGTACACATACACACACGTACACACACACACACACGTACACACACACGTACACATACACACACGTACACACACACGTACACACACAGACACGTACACACACGCACGTACACACACGCACATACACACACACACTCACGTACACACACACACACACGTACACACGTACACACACACACGCACGTACACACACACACACACACGTACACACACACGTACACACACACGTACACACACACACGTACACACACGTACACACACACGTACACACACACGTACACACACACACACACACACGTACACACACACACGCACACACACACACACACGTACACACACACACGTACACACGTACACACACGTACACACACACACACACACGTACACACACACACGTACAGACACACACGTACACACACGTACACACACACGTACACACACGTACACGTACACACGTACACACACACACACGTACACACACACACACGTACACACACACACACACGTACACACACACACACTCACGTACACACACACACGTACACACACACACACGTACACACACGTACACACACACGTACACACACGCGTACACACACACACACGTACACACACACGTACACACACGTACACACACACACGTACACACGTACACACACACTCACGTACACACACACACGTACACACACACACGTACACACACACACACGTACACACACGCGTACACACACACACACGTACACACACACGTACACACACACGTACACACACGTACACACACGTACACACACACACGTACACACACACTCACGTACACACACACTCACGTACACACACACACACGTACACACACACGTACACACACACACGTACACACACACACACACGTACACACACACACGTACACACACACGTACACACACACACGTACACACACACACGCACGTACACACACACGCACACACACACACGCACACACACACACGTACACACACACACACGTACACACACACACACGTACACACACACACGTACACACACACACACGTACACACACACACATACACACTCGCACGCTAACCTGTGCCTGGTAGGCGGCCGCCTGTTGCAGGCTGTTGCGGTTGAGGGCACGGCTGTAGGGGTTGCCGTGGAGACGGGTGTTCCTGTGTGCGATCTCCCGCGAGGGCTGTGTGTCCGAGTCCTGAACAGAGATCGCTACACACGGGGACACAGAGACACGGGGACACAGAGAGAGACACGGGGAGAGAGACACGGGGAGACAGAGAGAGACACGGGGACACAGAGACACGGACACAGCGACACGGGGACAGAGACAGAGAGAGACACGGGGAGAGAGACAGAGACACGGGGAGAGAGACACGGAGACACAGAGAGAGACACGGGGACACAGAGACACGGACACAGAGACACGGGGACAGAGACAGAGAGAGACACGGGGAGAGAGACAGAGACACGGGGAGAGAGACACGGGGACACAGAGAGAGACAGAGAGACAGAGACACGGGGAGACAGAGAGAGACAGGGAGACAGAGAGAGACACGGGGAGAGAGACAGAGAGAGACACGGGGACACAGAGACCCGGGGAGAGAGAGACAGAGAGAGACACGGGGACACAGAGAGAGACACGGGGAGACAGAGAGAGACACGGGGAGACAGAGAGAGACACAGGGAGACAGAGACACGGGGACACAGAGACACGGGGACACAGAGAGACACAGGGAGACAGAGAGAGACACGGGGAGAGAGACAGAGAGAGACAGGGAGACAGAGAGAGACACGGGGAGAGAGACAGAGAGAGACACGGGGACACAGAGACACGGGGAGAGAGAGACACGGGGAGAGAGACACGGGGACACAGAGAGACACAGGGAGACAGAGAGAGACACGGGGAGAGAGACAGAGAGAGACACGGGGACACAGAGAGAGACACGGGGACACAGAGACACGGGGACACAGAGAGAGACACGGGGAGACAGAGACACGGGGACACAGAGACACGGGGACACAGAGAGAGACACGGGGACACAGAGACACGGGGACACAGAGAAAGACAGAGAGACAGAGACACGGCGAGACAGAGAGAGACAGGGAGACAGAGAGAGACACGGGGAGAGAGACAGAGAGAGACACGGGGACACAGAGAGAGACACGGGGACACAGAGAGAGACAGGGAGACAGAGAGAGACACGGGGAGAGAGACAGAGAGAGACACGGGGACAGAGACAGAGAGACAGAGACACGGGGACACAGAGACACGGGGACAGAGACAGAGAGAGACACGGGGACATAGAGAGAGACACGGGGACACAGAGAGAGACAGGGAGACAGAGAGAGACACGGGGAGAGAGACAGAGACACGGGGAGAGAGACAGAGACACAGGGAGAGAGACACGGGGACACAGAGGCACGGGGAGACAGAGAGAGACACGGGGAGACAGAGAGACACGGGGAGACAGAGAGAGACACGGGGAGACAGAGAGAGACACGGGGAGACAGAGACACGGGGACACAGAGGCACGGGGACACAGAGAGAGACAGAGAGACAGAGACACGGGGAGACAGAGAGAGACAGGGAGACAGAGAGAGACACGGGGAGAGAGACAGAGAGAGACACGGGGACACAGAGACCCGGGGAGAGAGAGACACGGGGAGAGAGACACGGGGACACAGAGAGAGACAGGGAGACAGAGAGAGACACGGGGAGAGAGACAGAGAGAGACACGGGGACACAGAGAGAGACACGGGGACACAGAGACACGGACACAGAGACACGGGGAGACAGAGAGATAAAGGGAAACAGAGAGAGACACGGGGAGAGAGGCAGAGAGAGACACGGGGAGAGAGACACAGGGACACAGAGAGACACGGGGACACAGAGAGAGAAACGGGGAGACAGAGACACGGGGAGACAGAGAGAGACACGGGGAGAGAGACACGGGGAGACAGAAACACGGGGACACAGAGAGAGATACGGGGAGACAGAGACACGGACACAGAGACAAGGGGACACAGAGACACGGGGACACAGAGAGAGACACGGACACAGAGACACGGGGAGACAGAGACACGGGGAGACAGAGACACGGGGAGACAGAGACACGGACACAGAGATACGGGGACACAGAGACACGGGGACACAGAGAGAGACAGAGAGAGAGAGACACGGGGAGACAGAGACACGGTGAGAGAGACACGGGGAGAGAAACACGGACACAGAGAAACGGAGAGACAGAGACGCGGGGAGAGAGAGACACGGGGAGAGAGTGTATAGTGTAGTGTATAGTGTAGTGTATAGTAATATAGTGTATAGTAGTGTAGTGTATAGTGTATAGTAGTGTAGTGTATAGTAGTATAGTAGTGTAGTGTATAGTAGTGTAGTGTATAGTGTAGTGTATAGTGTAGTGTATAGTAGTGTAGTGTATAGTAGTGTAGTGTATAGTGTAGTGTATAGTAGTGTAATGTATAGTAGTGTAGTGTATAGTAGTGTAGTGTATAGTAGTGTAGTGTATAGTAGTGTATAGTGTAGTGTATCGTAGTGTAGTGTATAGTAGTGTAGTGTATAGTGTAGTGTATAGTAATATAGTGTATAGTAGTGTATAGTAGTGTAGTGTATAGTAGTGCAGTGTACAGTAGTGGTGTATAGTAGTGTAGTGTATAGTGTAGTGTATAGTAGTGTATAGTGTAGTGTATAGTAGTGTAGTGTATAGTAGTGTAGTGTATAGTAATATAGTGTATAGTAGTGTAGTGTATAGTAGTGTAGTGTATAGTGTATAGTAGTGTAGTGTATAGTGTAGTGTATAGTGTAGTGTATAGTAGCGTAGTGTATAGTAGTGTAGTGTATAGTGTAGTGTACAGTAGTGTAGTGTATAGTAGTGTAGTGTATAGTAGTGTAGTGTATAGTGTAGTGTATAGTAGTGTATAGTGTATAGTAGTGTAGTGTATAGTGTAGTGTACAGTAGTGTAGTGTATAGTAGTGTAGTGTATAGTAGTGTATAGTAGTGTAGTGTATAGTAATATAGTGTATAGTAGTGTAGTGTATAGTAGTGTAGTGTATAATGTAGTGTATAGTGTAGTGTATCGCATTGCAGTGAGCACAGTGCAGTTTCAGTGGCGCCTACCTTCTGGGTAGTACATGAGAGAGTTCTTAGCCGAGTACTCCCAGGTCTCCAGCCCGGCCTGGCTGG